CTGTATTTTGGGGTAGATTTTTATCAGGCAGAAATCCTTCTAAGATACTCTTGACTGATTTATTTAAAGACAGAAAAATGTGCCTAGTGCTGATCAGGTACCTAGTGAGTGAGCCTTGGATGCCTAGAAGGCTGCCTGACTCAGACTCCATCCCAGGTAGGGCTACTACCAAGGGCAGGCTTTCTACTGGCTCTCACAAATTCAATCGCTTTTCTGGAATGAAAAGCCCTGCCCGAGTTTAGCTTGATGACTGGACAGGCTGGATGAAAATGTTACACAATAATGAATGCGAAATACATGAATTCAGTAAGTTGACCGATGGGACAATAAACCAATCTAGTTACAAACGATCCTCATTCTCAAGCCTATGTAAATAACTGAATTGAAATAGGTAAAAAAAAAAATTTTTTTTTTAAATGGTGAGTTTGTTCCTTAAGGGCAGAAATTCATACAGCATTTGTTGAGCAAATAAATAATTTTTTCTGGACAGGACACGTCCCTGGACAAAATTATACTGGAAAATTTTCACATGTATGGCTGTGTTAGCTTCATCGATACTTGCTTATCCTACAAGGCAGCACCGCAAGGCAGCTAGGCAAACATGAAATCTTCAGAGAACATGTACAATGATAGGCTCTTTGGGGATGTGTAAGAAAGATCACTGCTAAAAAGAACATTACTCTAAAGTGCATAACTGAAATGAGGTTTAGTACCTCAGTGTGGTGAACTAAATCAAATTATTGAGAGAGAGAGAGAGAGAGGTGTGTGTCCACATGGGCCAAACTGATCAAAGGAGGCAGAATGAGGATAATAACTGGTAATCTTTTTTTTTTTTAGCTGAACCATCCTGCCGCCTGTTGGCAGCTCAGCGGCAGCTCAGCTCGGGCCAGGCATCGAACTGCTGTTGCTCAGAGCTCGGACTCTTGAGCGAGCTCTTAACCAACTGAGCCACTCAGCTGGCCCAATAACCAGTAATCTTGATAAACAGGAATTGACAGGCTGAGGTGAGGTGAAAGGCATTCTAGGCACAACCGATTTGTAAGCATCCAAGGAAGCAGAATTCTGGGAAATGTGAGTAGTTTAATTCAGCAAGGGCATATACTGAACAAACGATGACAATAAAAAGAAAGCTGGAGTAAAATTATAAGGTGTTTCATTTTTCAGGCAATGGAGAACCATGAAAGGTATCTAATCAAGGGAAAATGACACAAGCTTTCAGACTAGGAATGAAGAGGAGTAAGAATAAGTTAGGGTCAGGCTTCACCTGAAATGAATGAATGAATGAATGAATGAATGAATGAATAAATAAATAAATAAATTGGGGGTGAGGCTGAAATAGAAGTTTTTAACAGCACCAAATCCTATAATTACAGTAGCAAAAGAAAGGTCCATGTGATATAACAGATGATAAATGTATAAAAATATTTTCATCTCTTGCTTTCAAATACAGGAGACGGCACCAGGATGGCTATTACTGAGTGGGGCGATGTTCAGCAACGCCAACCAATGAAGCCACTGTCAGGAAAGCTTACCAGTCTCCTAGAACAGTACTTTCTCCAACCCAAAGCACCTGGGGATCTGGTTAAAATGTAGATTCTGATTCACTAGGTTTAGGGTGGTGCTCTGGGTATTTACACCTCTAACAAGCTCCCAATACTGCTGTTCCATGGACTACATTTTGAGTAGCAAGATGCTAAAACATCTTTCAGTTTCCCTTTCCAAAAAGGCAATATTTGATGTACTATGTTTAATCCATTATGGTATATCTAATGCTTTTAGATATGCTTAAGAAATTCCTTTTAAAGGTATTATAATTTGCATCAACGTTGGATCAGTTTCAAAAGCTACTATTTTAAAAATCCAAGATGACTCAAGATTCAGGGTATTCAAGATACTCAGAAATATTTTCACCTGGACAAAATAAACTGTTCCATCACACTAAAATGTTGTTATTCTTTTCAGGTTGACAAACCAGAAGATACTACTGCTTCTAATCTTGGGAGGATGCAGAAAGATAACACTCCATCTTTTCATAATGCACATCAACAGGTTTTTGTAAAACCCAGTTAACTTGCCCTTACTGTGCCCTTATCATCATACCTCAGTCCTTGAAAATAAAGGTAACAATTTAAATATCCTACTGGAAAACACCTGAAGATTACAAAAATTAAATTCACACACTGTCCTTCTGTTTAATATTTCTATACAAAGGGATATCGCTTTAATTAAAGGCTTTTACCATGAACAGAGGTACCATTTATAAAAATATATTACTAGTGTAATATATTACACACACACACACACACACACACACACACACACACACACACAGGGGCTGACCTTCAATTCTTGGGATAAAATTTAAGACTTCTGAAATCTCAAGTTTCATATTTAATCAAATTAATGGTCAATAACAACCTTTTAGGTAAATTGTCTTCAATATGTAGCAATGTCTAGAGAACAAAAATAGTGGAAAGTACTGTTGAAGATCAGATCCAGTTATTTCATCGTAGAGGTAAGAAATTGAGGCACAGAGGCTAAAAAGGCCAAAGTCGCACAGCTGCTAGGGGCAAAAAAAAAAAGAAAGAAAAAGTGTAGGGACCCAGGCCCAGACCCTAGGCTAGGGCCCCCGCCCAGAGGAATGAAAGAAACTTCTGCTTCAGCAAAAATTAGCAAAGTATCTTGTCAAGAGACTAGAAAAAGATAAGCTAGGTATGCTTTATAGCTTACTTGTTAGGGAAAAGATAAATTGGGTAGCTTGTTAGGAAAAAATAAACAAGTCATGTTTTATAGCCAGTCAAGAAGATNTTCCCGCACTCTACTCCGTGTCCCGAAACTCTACTTTTGACTCTTGTGATTTCTTAGCCCGTTGCCGCCCCTCCTAGAGCCTCCCAGCCCTTGTCACACAGGACGTGATCTCTGGCACCCCAACGTGTGGCCTTGAAGACGTGATATCTGGTGCCCTGAAGACGTGATACAGCATGCTTGAAATCCAACCTCCTACCTAGCTCCTTTCTTTGAAACAATAGTCCTCATGCTCCTTTATAGGACTTCCATAGTTAACCCTGGGCCCACTGGCTGCCCACATGCTTCTCACAAACAGCATGTGCTCAGCACATATGCGTGTCCTCTGCTTTCATCTTCTGAGCAACCAGGAGAGAAAGTTACCGCATTTCCTGCTTTACGGATGGAAGCCTGATAGTCAAGCCACATGGCCATGAAGTAAGTGACCCAGGATCTGCATTTCCCGTCTCTCGTGCATTTAATGCTTCATTGTGTGGCTGTGCACTGTAGTCCTGACACACGGACACACCATGCTAAGCACTGAGAATGCCATTCTGAACACAGCAATCATAATTCCTGTCCTTGGAGCCTGCATGAGAGTGAGAGGACGGGCATTTTACAAATAATTACCTGATAAGCATTACATTGCAATTATAATTAAGTACAACAAAGGAGAGATACAAAGGGCCATTAAAACAGGAGATGGGTGGGACCTCATCTGGGGCTTCAAGGAAGGCTCTGAAAGAGGCCACAGGGAGGGGAACTGTGGTGCCCCAGCCATCGGTCAGTACTGGGACCTTCCAGGCCAGTCTATCCATCACCTGAATTCAGCCACATGAGTGACCCCAAGCAAGACCTGCAGAAGTCAGCCCACCATGAGAAATACAAAGTATTGTTTTAAGCCGCAAAGCTTTGGAGGTGGTTTTGTATACAAGTATAGAAAACTGAAATAGAATGTAGGGACCCAGGCCCAGACCCTAGGCTAGGGCCCCCGCCCAGAGGAATAAAAGAAACTTCTGCTTCAGCAAAAATTAGCAAAGTATCTTATCAAGAAAATAGAAAAAGATAAGCTAGGTATGCTTTATAGTTTACTTGTTAGGGAAAAGATAAATTGGGTAGCTTGTTAGGAAAAAATAAACAAGTCATGTTTTCTAGCCCGTCAAGAAGATAAGCAAGTTATGTATTAGCTCGTTAAAAATAATAACCTAACTGTGTTTTATAGTTTGCTAAAATAAGATAAACTAACCATTTTTTCCTTTTTACACACTAACTGCTTTTTTTGCTTCTGTATCCAGCTTCAGCTATAAATTCCTTACCCACCAAGACTTAGGGGCTGATCTCTTGAGAGACAGTCCCAGGTCTGGTCATAAATTCTCTGGAACGAAAATCTTTTGTGCAAGTTTTGTTTAGGAGCCGTAAACCTAACAAAAGGGGGAGGGCCAAATTAATTTTCACATGTATCAATGCACAATATACAATGATGTATCAAATACACAGTGTAGTTGAAAGAGTTTCAGGTTCCTCTAATGCCTAACGCACAGTTGGTTTTACAAATCATTGATATCCAAGAAAGGAAGGCTACATACCAATAAAGAGAAGACATGCTACCCCAAAATTTAAGAACGTCATAAAAAATGCAATCTGAATAGAGAATGACACATATACACCACATACTGGGGATGGGGCTGCAGCAGGGTGGGTAATGGGATGGGATATAAAGAACAAAGAGAAGACAATGGTAACTCTTATCTTCTCAGTAATGGTCCGAGGAAAGCTTTCACATACAGAAAAGTGGTTAAAAAAACAGAACTTCCTTTGCTCCCATGAATCATATTTTAATTGGTAAAACTGAGAATTAGATTTGGAGGACTGCAAAGCTTTTAAATATATGAAATGTAGATAGCAGTTGGATGTGCATGTGTCATAAGCTCTGTCACAATTACAAGAAAACCCAGAGAACACTTTTTTAGTCATAAAATAGGGGATTTTGTGCTTTTTACAAATGCTATTAAAATTTACTAGCACAAGTTAAAAAAAAAATCACTGGAGAAGTTCCATGATATCAGAGACAATGGGTTTTAAATCACAGGCATACATTATTATGCCTCAGTTGACAGATCTGCACTGCAATGCAGAAATGCAAGCAATAACCCAACATCTGCACTGGAAGGCAGAGACGAGACATGATTCCAGAATAAAGGCTCTTCAGCTCTTACCTGTTACCTGTGCAACAACTGCTTGGGAAATCCTCCGATTGGCAAGAAAGGCTTTGATTTCCTCTTTTATCACACTGCTGTCCCTCCTAACAAAAACAGAAGACAAGACCAACAATGTATGTTGAAGGTAGAAATCCTCATCTTTGCTAAGAAAGGTGAAGCAGAGAGGTGGGGAGGACATAGAAAGGAAGGACACAAAAATAAAGGGATACAGACCAAGCCTGTGTGAAAACATGAAATTAAAACAAACCAAGAAACACAAGATATTCTAGTCCTAACACACCACACCATCAGACAGACGCTTTAGTGAATACCGCGGCAGATACAAGGTTCAAACTGGAGGGCGGTTAATCGCATGCTGTGTATAGTTCACATTAGAAACAAGGCTGCCATATGGTACACACAAAGTTTCATCACTGGGGAATGAATATATCTTTCACAAAAGCAACAAAACAACAACAAAAATCAGTTGTGAGTAGATTGTGGGGTCGCATGTTAACTATGCAACTGCATAAATAACGTACAGTTCATTTTAAAACCTTTGTTAAAGGAACAGAAATCATCATCCTTCTCACAACTGCTAAAATATTAGCCATTTTAAGACAGGCTTTGCTTTGTAATTTGCCTTTCCCGGTATAAATCGAAGAAGAAATTTTAAGTGGGGTGGGCTGCATATAAAATTTTAATATAAAAAGGCACTTATTAATTTCCTATTTCATGTAATACACAGAATACATCATGCTTAAAGCTACGCTATTTTCTGTGTCCTTGAAGTTATATATCATAGACCTAATTTTGCCTCCACTAAGATGCCTTATAATTTTTACTTATTTAAAAACTCAACAAATTCTCAAAAGACTAGACATTCACTACAATGCTTCTCTACCAAAACAAACAGAAAATTTTAATTATACTTAAAAGTGACCAATTTCTCTGTGAATGCTTTATGTTCAAAAGGATAACAAATGGAGCATTGATTTTTGTTCAATACAGACTAGTGGTAACTTATGATCTAACACAGGAGGCGGCAAACTGTGGCCCATGGGCTCAGCCTGGCCTCCCATTTGTTTTTATACAACCTGTGAGCTAAGCATCGTTTTCACAGATGAACACTTGCAATCAACTTGATGGCAGGAAACACTATCTAAACATAAATTAAAGCTAATTGTTGTAACCTCCTCAATTCTCTTCTTCCCACTAGTAGGTTTGTATTTTTAAAACTGCATTTCATTATTATTCTGTATTGGATTTTGTCAATAGAAGTTTATGCCTATTCGTTTTCTCTCTTGCATTCAAGTATCTATATTATACTCTCAATTTTGCTTCTTGGCCACAACGTCATGTTTCCCATCGAGCCCTTTACAGAAAAGTTTGCTGACCCTGGATCTGAGACAAAGGGATCATGAAATCTTTACAAATCGTTTTGTGAATGAACCACAAACTCTTCAGAGAAGCTCGTCTCTGTACAGATTATTTGGAGAAATGCCAAGAAAAGTATCCTCTGCAAAAAGAATCAATTGTGATTTAATTTAGAGCTGATATTGTAGCCCCTTGGTGAGGATGGGCTGTACCCTCTGATAGTGGACTCCATGTTCCAGTTCAGGAATTCTGGGAAAAGGCAGAGCGGCAATAGTAGGGGCAGCTTCCAATCTGAAGCTTTACAGTATGTTCCGGATCTACTGGTTGGTAATCCTAATCAAAAAAATTCCTAAAGGAAAAAAACAGCGACTCTGCTGCCTAAACCGATATCTAAAATTTCTCATACTGATCTAGCTTCTGAGCTAGATACTGGCTAGATTCCTCCCATAATGCTTGTTTGTATTTGAAGTATCTCCTTGAAAAATATGCATTCTCATTTTATTTTAAAATTGTGTATTTGAAAAAGGCACAAATAAAAACATTTTAAAGTCAAACAAAATAAACTGCTGAGTAAAATACAGGTAATGCAGGCTAAACAGCTCTCAAACATCCATCAATAATCAATTGAGCAAGGGATAACTTCAGCAATATCTGTTTTAATTGGCTGATGTACGTAAAACAACCAAATCATTTGGTTTCTGACACAGATGCAAAACTAATGTGAAAAAAACTTTAAATAAGGCATTGCATTTCAATCTACAGAGGGTCCTTCTAGAAAAATAAAATCTGAGTGTAAGAGAATATTTATTAAGGTTAAATTTTAAAATGTGCTTTTGTGGGAAAAATGATTAAATGGTATTTTCTTGACTACTGATTTGAATTGGAATTTAAATCAATTTACCTTAAATCAAATCCACCGAGCGTAGGTACTAAATCATATAGAGGAGATAATACTCAATTATTTTAACAGGGAATATCCAGTTTGTGAATTATTCACGGCCTTGCAGTATGATATTATCAAGCACAGCAGAAGGTTCGAGGGAACCCCAAAACGTGTGCAAAACAGCAGCAATTCATTTACCCTCCCACAGCCTGTATTTTTAGATACTTAGCAACTTTCTAAGTACCCACAATGAGTTCATCATCATCATCATCATCTCTTTACTCAACTGCTTTACCAGAGAGAAGCTTTTCTGAACCGAAGGAAAATATAAAACTTAAAAGATAAGGGTGTTCTTGGGCAAGTCATTTAATAAACCTAGACACTGCTTTCATCATCTGGTGAAAGGAGAACATTAATACACCCATCACAAGGCTCTTCAGATTTTTCTCTAAGCACTGAAATTAAACTTAAATGAAATTCAATACTGTGTGTGTGTGTGTGTGTGTGTGTGTGTGTCTAACATATAAAATCATAAATTCTTCAACGTAAAAATTTTTGGAACTATAAAAGCACTATATAAACAAATGATTATTTTTTGGAAAACCCCAGAAAGAATCCCAGCAACAGAAGAAACAAATGATCTGCTGTAACTACATAAGGCTGAGGTAAACATCTGTATTGGGCATTTTAAGACACCATGGAAAGATTTCTAGAAAGTCATTTTAGACACAGCAGTGATGTGGCATTCAGTTGGTTTTACTAGGTACTTTCAAGACAGAAAAAGCATTCAACTATCATTCTGTCCGATTCTCTTATGCATTTCAAAGACTTCCGTTCTACTGGGTTGGCTTTGTTCTTTAAACTTTCACGTATTTCCCCAATTCTCTCCTCATTTGCCTTCTTTAACAACCTGTCTCTCCTACTGTATACATTGTACCCTGTGAAATCACCAGATTTCTCCTTTGTTACTCCAAAATTAAATCTCTCATTGTCTCCTACTCCTTACTTCCTCTCTTCATCTGAAATTTGACATCCTCTTTAAAGAAAATGAATCCCTTTTCCTCCTTCCACTTATAAAATCTCACACTCCTCACGATTTCTACTCAAGTCTTATGGAATTCAAGTCAAGTGTAGGCTGACCTTTGATTCCATAGCTTACTTCCAATGTGAGCTATCACTCTATTTGCATCTAACCTTATCTGAAGTCCATGTCATCTCATCCTACTGCCTTTTCCAAGTCACAGCCATGCTATATTCATCTATCTGGGTAACTTCCACATAAGGATAAAACCCTTTCTACCCTCCATTGCCATTCTTTTTATAACTTGCTAAACTTTCCATTGTTATCTACAGACCTTTCTAAGTGAATCTGGATGAATTCATCAGTAGTACCTCTTTGTGGAATCACCCTTTTTAAAGATACAATTTGACTGTCATCATTCAGAAAGTTCTCCCTGATCCTCAGAGCTCAAAAAGATTTCTTCCAACAGCACTTTAACATTTCAATTATACGACCCACATGCTAATATGTTACATGCTGTTCTGTATTATGGTTGTTTCTGATCTGGTCTTCTCTCTCCCACTAGCCTGTAAAGTCCTTTAGCACAAAGAATGTGTTTTATTCATCATGGGGTGTGCAGGCAATAGAGCTTAATTTATTCAAGAACAAATCGGTGGTTGGAGATAAAAGGTTGTGAAATAAAAAACCTGATCTGGATAACTTATAAAACAGCTCTAAATTCTTATTCTCAAATATGTTTAAATTTCCCAAATCAAAATGAAAAAAGAGTTATTTATGTTAGCCAAAAATGGTAATACTTTCTTTTCTATTCTAAAGACCATATATTTAAAAGCAGTATGCTTTAAGATCTTCCATATTCCCTTGGTTGATATACACTACATCAAGGACTCCCTTAAAGGTAGTCTTTTATCTCAAAGACTTCCAGAGATGGAAGACAGACTATGTCACAGGTGGAAAAATATAATTACATACAAATTCTTTCACATTTGAATAAAAACCTGCTCCCTTTAATTTCCACCCCAAAACAAAGCATAATTAAAAATTTTAAAAGATAACTTGAAAAGAAAAGCTACTCTGTATGTATAACCAACATGGAAATCGAATATTATAACCTATGCAACCCTAAGTGCCCTACCTACACAAGTAAATAACCTACTGTTAGGGTTTTAGATAACCAACTCGGAAGAAAGGCTCGGAATCTTATATAAAATGTTAACATATTATTATAACACTAACCTCATCTCAATTGTTATTTTATAATAGATACACAAAAGAACAAATACACTTTAATAGATGTACACTATAATATTAGCAGGTATATCTACATATGAAGTATATATAAATAGATGCATTTAAAAATGTTAACATGTGGGGCCGGCCAAGTGGCTCAGTTGGTAAGAGCTGGCTTAAGAGCGTGAGCTCTGAGCAACAGGGCCACTGGTTCGATTCCCACATGGGCCAGTGACGCTGCGCCTGAGCTGTCGCTGAGCTGCCAAAAGGTGGCAGGATGGCTCAGCTGGTATAACAACAAGATTGCATGTTCGATGGCTATGCCCACCTTCAACTAAGACTGAACTTGGCACCTTGAACTGAGCTGCCGCCTGGATGGCTCAGTGGATAGAGCATGTGCTCTTAACAACAAGGCTGCTGGTTCGACTCCCACATGGGCTGGTGGCTACGCCCACACACAACTAGGATTGAACACAGCACTTTGAGCTTAGAGGCCACGAGCTGCCGACGGGCAGCCAGATGGCAACTGGCACCCTCCACAATGAAGACTGAAGAACAACTTGGCTGGTCCCCTTTCCCTATTCCCTAACACTGTTCCCCTCCCCCAATTTCCCAATAAAATCTGTAAAAAAAAAAAAAAAAGTTAACACGTGAAATGGGTCTTCATTCCAGCTCTTAGCTTCAAAGTACTTCCTAAAAGGTTATATTCAACAATTTGTTGAGAATTAATATTCTAGTTTCCTTTTCATTTTTTTTACCCTGATCAATTCAAAAATGGAAAAAGTAGCAGCTACTTTGATTTTTTCTTAACAAGTTCATCAGGTGTACAGTTTTAACAATCAATTTCTACAAAAAAAAACTTCCTCTATGTACCTTGAAATTACTAAAAGTTGTGTGTGGATTTAAATGAGTTATGAGATTTGAAAACTATATCTTAAGATTGAGTGCTCTGGAAGTTGGGCAATGTGAGAGAATGCAAGAGGTGAATTATATATATATATGTAGAAAAGGAGGCAGGAAGGCATGCGGGTACCCCTCCTCCCCACACAGAAACCACCAAATTCAACCCACTATCATATCACCATAGGATTTAGTTATCAGCAAGGGCAATATAGCCCTACATAGGCACAGGACTCTCAGAAAGATCCACTGATCAAAAATTTCTCTAACGGGGCCAGCCGAGTGGCGCGATGGTTAAGGGCTGGCTTGGGACGCCAGAGGGCCCCAGTTCGGATCCCACATATGAGGGCCAGTGACACTGCCCTCCACAGCTAAGAGGCTGGACAGCAGCTCGACCTGGAGATGGGCTGCCATGAGTCGCCGGTGATGGCATGGGCTGCAGCCCCTGTGGCAATGGGTTGCCACGGGCTACCATATATAGCCAGCAGCCAGCATGAGCGGCCAACAGCCGCAGTGAGCGGCCATCCAGAAGCCGGCGACTGATCTGCCTCGCCCGGGAGGAGTGCAATGATGGTGCCAACTTGGGCCAGTGAAGCAACGTCCTCCACAACTAGACTGAGGAACAAAACGACAGCAACTTGTCTGTTCCCCTTCCCTCAATTCCCCAGCGCTGTTCCCATCCCCCCAATTCCCCAATTAAAAAAAAAAATTTCTCTAACATTCTACCAAATAAAATTTCATTTGGTTAACAGGTGATTGATTTGAAGTGGCATATATCATGGGCGTTGGGTTAGGGGTGCTTAGCCCATTAAAGCATTCATATTTTGTGTTGAGTTATATATTAACCACTGTTCCTAAAATCTTACTGAAATCTATAAAAATGAAAATTTTATTCACAGAGACAACAGATAATAGTGGTATGTTCATAATAAACGCATGGGTTAGAATTCAGGCTCTGCCACTTCATATTTAGTTAATTTTTCTTGGGCCAATTATTTAATTTTTGTGTATCTCAATTTTTCTGCTCCACCTCACAGCATGGTTCTAATGATTAAAAATGAGAACAGTCAGGCAATAAACTTCTCCCTCCAACCTAAGGATTGTTATTATCTGCAAACTTGAGAAAAATGAGAAGTGGGCACAAAAGAGGAATGTAGGTATGGGTAAGGGCGTTAATGGCAGAGGACCACAGAGCCAGAAGGTCCGGTGAAAGCCCTAGATGATTAGAGGACACTGAAATAGCAGCTCTAAGAAAGAAGCACAGAAAAGGAAGACGATAAAGTATCCTAACTATGCCACAAGTAGAAGTATGCAAATTAAATACTAATAACAATGTATAAACATGTATATATCTAATGACGAAACTTGAATGTGTATAACTGCAGGATTTAAGCACAAAGCCGAGTCATTGCTAAACAGGTTTTCGGTTTATTTTGAAGACATAGTTGAATTACAATATTATGTCAATCTAAGAGCTAGTACTCAAGTTTTAGACCCTCACCAATCCTCCAGAGCCTTTTATAAAAGGAAAGTTTTCCCACTTGTTAGTATAATACATGATTGGGAATTAACTGTTATGTTCAAAGCTTATTAAAACTGATTAATGATGGCAACAACAACAAAAAACAGGCTAGCATCCAAACAAATAAATTTTATTGTCGATATCCTCTCTACTCAGGATAATTAAAAGCTAACCTCTTTATATTTCCATGACTGAAGTAACTTTTATTTGCCCAAATGGTTTTCTCTCTTAATCGTGACAGTGAAATATATGGTAGATTTAAAAGGAACATCCAAACTTTGGCTAGCTACTTTAACACATGAAAATGAATTCAAAGCCAAATCAATCTTGCATATTTTTAAGTTTTAAAAGCCTAAATAATAGGGCCCTATGGCTGTCCTGTAAAACTATTTATTACAGGAATTGCATTGGAATCTAGATACAATAGTCCAGTCTGTCCAGAATTCCATATAGGCAGTTCCGTCCTGAAAATGAATTCAGGACAGTTTGTGTAAAAGGTATTACACCATTGTGGTACTGAAGGATAGATCTTCCATATGGCCATATTAAGTCATCATTATACTATCTTCAAGTCTTAAAATCTTTAGGAATAATGATAACTCATAATGATAGGTTTTAATTTTATTTCTGACCAATTCCTGCTAATATGTATTGTAACTAATCTCTCTGCAGCCTCTCCTCCCTACTACAGTACAGGCAGACCTCAAAGTTATTGCAGGCTCGGCTACAGACCACCGCAATGGGGCAGACGCCACAATAAAGCGAGTCACATGAACGTTTTAGTTTCCCAGTGCATACAAAAGTGACATTCACACTATATAGTCTATTAAGTGTGCGATAACATTATGTCTAAAAAATGTACATACCTTAATTAAAAAACGCTTTACTGCTTGCAGTGGATGGGGGGTGGGGGGTTGTTACTTTGTGAGGGTGAAAAGGGTAACTATTGCATTGTTCTGTACACCTGAAACTAACAATAAATAAAAATTAAAAAAAAAAAAAAAAAAAAAAAAAAACGCTTTACTGCTAAAAAATGCTAACCATCATCTGAGCCTTCAGTGACTCATAATCATTTTGCTGGTGGAGGGTCTTGCCTCAATGCTGATGAAAGCACAATATCTGCGAAGTGCAATAAAGCGAGCACAATAAAACGAGGTGTGCCTGTAGAGATAATCTACTGAAAACAATGCTTTTATCATCTCTATTCCTAAAGACCTGTACAAACGCCTTGGTTCTAACCAAATTAAACAGAAACTATTAACCCCCGTCTTCCAAAACCTGTACTGCCTCCTTATAAACTGTCTCCTTACCATAGTCTAGCTCACATACAATCCTTGTAAGACCAAACATGCCTTGCCTTTCCTACCTTTTACTATTCCCTTAACTTTAAATAAAGTTCTTATATTTCAAACCAGGGGCTCTCTTTTAAGGTTTAGCTCAAATGCATCCATTCACTTAACATGTTACACTCTTAACATGTACGAAAGACAGTTCAGGTCCTGGAGACACAACCATCAAAACCACATGGTTGCTGCCCTCAAAGAGTCGCAGGCCCAGTGTGAGGCCACTCCTAACTGCCCCTGTTGAAAGTGGACCTCTCCTTCGCTCCCCAGTCTTTCAAACTCTAAGTGCTTACACTTGTCTTGTAATAGATAACATTAAATATATATATGTATCTGGCAACTATTGCTAAAATTAGAACTTTAGCTTCTCAGGGGTAAAAACCATGTCTTTTTCTTCCTAAGAACACTACTTTTTATATAACAGGTACTTAAAATTATTTTGTGGATTGGTAGGTTGGGGGCGAAAATTAAGACTACATATTCTGTATCATGATAAAATCATCTTATCCCCCAGGAAAAGTACTTACAATGGATTTAAGAATTAGAATGTGTCTGTTAGCAAGGCTGAAAATTCAGATGTTAGCAATTAGAGCCATAAGGAGAAGGCTAATCTTTGCTTTGATAAATAGAATGAAAAAGGCTTATCAAGCAGCAACGTGAAAGGGCTGAAGTAGAGAAGAGAAAATCTGAATTAAAAACATAAAGTTTGAAAATTTTGTTTTATCTCCAAAGTGGGGAAGGGGAAATCGCAGTTCTTATAGGGAAGGAGCTGAAATACAGCTTCTTACTCAAAAGCGATCTAAGGACACAGACATTTGGGGGACTCTGAATAAGCAAAGGAACCAACCTCATTAATTCCTCCACTTTATCATCTACATCTAGGTCCTCTTCTGAGGCTTCAAAACTGTACGATCTCTGGCCCATGCTGTTTGCGTGGTAGCGAGTGGGGGACATCTTCCCGTTGGATGTGGATAATCGCTCGTTATTCTCCCTCCCATTTTGATTGGTAGTGCAAGGCTGTGGGGAGGTGTCGTAACTGTTGCTAGGCGATGGGGACATTCCCGAATGCTGGGTTTGGGTGGAAGCTGTGGCTGTAGAGGAAGATGCTGGAACATTGTTGGTACTATTCCCGTAGGAGCTTCCTCCATAGCTGGACCTTCTTCCAAACTTGTCACTATGCTCTTGATCTAGGCGGTCCAGAGTTTCCAAGGCATGGAGAATTTCATGTTTAGTCATTCCAGTACGCCGGAGGCGCTGAAGCAGGTCTATCTGCTCTATGGTAAATCTGGGTTCATCCGTATAGTGAGACATGGTTTCCAACAAACTAAAAAAAGAGATGAAAAAGGAGTCTCTTTACTTACAATATCTATCTACCCAGGAACATATCATGATAGAGAGTGCTCAGCAGAAGACGCAACATTTTTACATCAATTTCTTTACTGAAAATGATTAAGATATTATTATTATAATGAACCAAAATTTCAGTTATGGCAGTGATACCAAAATAACAGATTTAAGTATGTACAGTGTTAAGCCCAGGCTATGTGATTACATACGTGTTGCTTTCCATCTCATATTTATTATTCTACATTAGAGTATTAATAGAAAGTTGCTGAAAACATAGTTTGTATAATCTTGTTTTACTAAATATCAGCAAAACTGACCCAGACCTGTATAACTTCTTTTAGTGTAAACAAACGATTTGATAAGCTAAGCCCAAGCAAATACTAACAACCAGCAACAATATTTAAATGAAAAAGTGAGGTACATTAAAAAAAAACTTATTAAGCACCATTTCACCTACCACTTAGCAATTTTGTGAGTATTTCATCTCTGTAATGCATTCTTTGTTAATTGATATCCTGAGAAATGGCTCTTTTAATACAACAGTGACCCCATAAGATTATAATGGCGCTGAAAAATTGCTCTCACCTAGTGACACTGTAGCCATCGTAATTGCCATCAAAATGTCATAATGCAACACATGACACCTGTGTTTGTGGTGACAGTGGTGTAAACAAACCTACTGTGCTGCCAGCCGTATACAAATATAGCACAGTTAATTATGTATAGGACATAATATTTGTTAATAATAATAAACGACTATGTTACTGGTTTATATGTTTACTATACTATACTTTTACCGTTATTTTAGAGTGTACTCTTTCTGCTTATAAAAATATGTTTGCTGTAAAACAGTATGCAGTGTTATGCCAGCAGTAAGTAGTCTCATACATCTGGTGTTTAACGCATCTCTTGGTTGCATCATTTTCTCTTATGCTTGATTCAACCTCGTGATGTTTGTACAGTAATATGCTGTTCAAGCTTGTAGCCTAAGAGCGATAGGCTATATATACCATGTAGCCTAGGTGTGTAGTAGGCGATACCATCTAGGTTTATGTAAGGGCACTCTATGATGTTCGCATAACACATCGCCTAATGACACATTCACCAGTACATATCCCCATAGTGAAGTGATGTATTACTTTATTAATGTTAAAGGAGTTGTCAAATACAAAAATTAATTTAAAAAAGAAAGAAAACTAAAAAAAAAAAATCCTCACTATTTGAATTCCTTTCTTACAAAATCTGACTTTCCTATTTAAGATTTTTTAAAGTGGTAATTTCTTCTATTTTTATGTTTATAGTTCCAAACAGGATGCATGGCATGTAGTAGGCTCTCAATTAAGTGTTTGCTGATGGAAATAAATGTCAAGACATTTTCTCATCTTTTACAGGTAAACATCTGCTCTGGGCCAGTTCCCCTAAGCTACTAGAGATCTGTTTCTTTATCTATATTAAAATTTTATTGAATATTTACATCTAGGAAGGCACTGGGCAAGAGTTTTATATAATGTAATCTCATCTAATCCTCACAACCACCCTCTGTGGCATATTTTTAATATAATTTTATATTGATTGATTATTGAGGAAACTATGGCTCAAAGTTGGTTTGTACCTTGCAGAAAGTCTGATTAAGAAACAGAAAAAAGGTGCATTTTCTCAATTCATTGAGATTTTGCTTCCTGGCAATTATCAGTTTGGCTCAAATAAACTCATAAAAAATTTTTTTTAAAAAGGAAACAGAAAAAAGATTTAAACCAAAATATTACTGACTCCAAAAGCACACATCATTCTGCTTTCCAATATATGGCAGGACTTGCTGGAATCATATGATTTGGACATAGGCTGTTGTACTCTTTTAAGTCTCCAGTTAAAACCACTTAGATAAAACCACTCTACTAATGGACTAGGGGTTCTAGTAATCGTTTTTTTACATTTAAAATCTTTGCTCCATCGAGAATTTATATTTACTTAACGAGTGTGAAAGGATTTGAGCTTTATTTTTTTTCCCAAAAGGATAGCTGGTTGTTCAAAATACTTTATTGAGTAATATGTCTCTGTTCTTGTGATCAGAAATGCCACCTTTATCATATACCAAATTTCCACACAAATTGTATCTAACCTTTGGATTCTCTATTCTACTCCATTGATTTTTTTTTTTTTTGGTCTTTCAAATCCTTTTTTAAAAAATAAGCAGGCAGCAATCTAGAATTTTTATGTGAAATCACTCTAGTTTTAGAGACAAGCTATTTCAAAATGAAAACAAACAAACAAACAAAACTGAATACATTTTGTGGACTGAAAATAACACGTTGTAGGACATTTGTACCCATAGGCCCCAGTATCTATCTGCCTTACACCTACACCCCATTATCTCCTGCTTTCTTCCAATACTTATTGGTGACCTGCTATCTATAAGTCCTATTTGTATGATTATTACATTCTTTCTTGATCACCTAGGTTTTTTTCCTCCAACATTTTATAATGAAAAACTTTAAATACACAGAACAGTTGAAATAAATTTACAGTGAACAACCAAATACAAGTCACTGAGATCATACCATTAACATTTTACGTGCTTTATCACATACTATCCATCGCTTATGCACCCATCCCTCTATTCATCTTATTTTTTGATACATTTCAAAATCAGTTACAGATATCTGTATACTTCCCACTAAACACTTCTACATGCATATCACTGACTGGAGCTCAGTATTTGCTCAGGTTTTTTTTCCCTGAGGTCAAATTTACACACAAAGAAATATGCAAATCCTATATTTATCATTCTGTGAGTTTTGAGAAGTACATATACCTGTGAAACTTGAATCCATGTGAAGGTACAGAATATTACCATCACACCAGGAAGATGCCTCAGGTCCCTTCTATGTCCCTTTCCCTCAAAGGCAAGCACTGCTCAGGTTTGTTCCCACCACGGATTCATTTTGCCTGTTCTAGAAAATCATATAAATGGAGCACAAAGTTTCTGAGACTCATCTATGATGAATGTGTATATCAGCAATTTGTTCCTTTTTATTGCTGGAATTGTAGGAGTATACCACAGGTTTGTTTTTCCATTCTATTTTAGACACTTGGACTGTTTCCACTTATTAGCTATTCTAAATGCTTTGGCTATTACAATTGTACTCTAATAATTTTCTTGTTAGTTTAGTATATCCTCTTATAATATGTCATCACCTGGTTGGCAGAGGAGAGGAAACTTTCAACTAGAGTAACTCATTTACTTTTTCTCCTGACCAATTTCAAAAGAACAGTATATCCTGCTTAACACAAAGGATGCGTTATGAAAATGCTATGCAGTGCCAGTAATGCTCTATGTTCCATGCTTGTTACAATACACAGGTATATTCGCTGTGAACATTCACCAAGTTGTACACCTCATTTGTGCATTTTTCGGTATGGATATTATACTTAAGGTTTGTTGAAAAAACTATGAAAATTTTCCTTAAAATGGCTTATAATAGACACTTTACACTTTAGGTTCTGTTTTAACCCTCAGCCCTTTGTCCACTCTATCAAGGGCTTAGTAATACAGCAGTCCCCTTTATCCACGGTTTTGCTTTCCACTGTTTCAGTTACCCGCGGTCAACCAAGGTCCCAAAATATTAAATGGAAACTTCCAGAAATAAACAATTTATACATTTTAAATTGTGTACCGTTCTGAGTAGCATGATGACATCTTGCACCCTCCTGCTCTGTCCCACCTGGGATGTGAATCAGCCCTTTGTCCAGCGTACCCACTCTGTATACGCTACCTGCCCATGTTGGTTATCAGATGGACTGTCGCTGTATCTCAGTGCTTGTGTTCAAGTAACACTTACTTTACTTAATAATGGCCCCACAGCACAAGAGTAGTGATGTGAAAGCTGGGAGATACCAAAAAGACGCTGTAAAGTTCTTCCTTGAAGTAAAAAGGTAAAAGTTCTCAGCTTAGTAAGAAAAGAAAAAAAAAATCATAGGCTGAGGATGGAAAGATCTATTATGGTAAGAACGAATCTTCTATCTGTGAAATTGTGAAGTAGGAAAAAGAAATTCGTGCTAATTTGTTGAGAAAGACCACATTCATGTAACATTTATTACAATATATTGTTACAATTGTTCTATTTTATTATTAGCTATTGTTGTTAATTTCTTACTGTCTAATTTATAAATTAAACTTCATCATAGGTATGTATGAATAGGGACAAAACACATGGTTTTAGGCATCCACTGGGGTCTTGGAACATATCCCCCTTGGGTAAGGGGGGAATACTATATATTAACCCTCAATCCTAGGAAGTTCTCTGTAAAAGTAGCTGCCAAATCTCTTTTGTAGTACAAATAATTTATCCCTTAATTTAATTCGGTAAATTGGGGTTTCCGTACATTACTCTTTTCCCTCAAAAGCAAAGTAGGCCATTGCTAACTTAAGTCTTTCTGTTTTCAAAATACTTCATAAACTGACCTGCCCTCACTTTAAATATGAGACTTCAAGAACTGTTTTATTGTATGGACAAACACACATAAAAATCAAACCAATCATGATATTGAAGGGGACCAAAGTTTTGCCACCCAAAAATGTGCTTTTTGGGATACTGATTCTAAGCTGGTCATTAAGAAACAGAAGACTCGGAAAGAACCTCTGACCCTCCACCTTCCCTGCCTAAGGGAAGTCAGATAGGAAGGCCTGCTTCAAGAAGGGCAGCTTAGCATATTTACTTTAGGATTTTCACCTTAGACTAATATGAATGAAATTCGGAAGCCAGGAAGGATCCATGCAAAAACCTGTTCTGCTGGATTCTCCTCCATGTCTCATTGTTTCCAGGTTGCCTAGCAGGAATTTGTTTGCCATGTGCTCCACTTTTTCTTGGCTACCTATGAACTGCCTACTTCCCCATCGAAATCCCAGACCTCTGCCCTCCACAGCCCCCTTCTCCTTGATCCAAAATGGTATAAAAACCTCAACTACTCAATGCCTCT